CATCACAGCACGACTGGAGCGACCGGTCGTCAGGAATGGGCGACCGGTCGCCAGAAGTTTTCCCTCCAGACTTTGAATCTGCTTCTAAACGACCGGTCGCAAATGTTAAGCGACCGGTCGCTAGCTTCCTGCGACCGGTCGCAAAGAACTGGCGACCGGTCGCTCGTTGATGTTGCTCCAGACTTCGAATCTGCTTCAAAACGACCGGTCGCAAATGCCTAGCGACCGGTCGCTTTTAGGCAGATTCAAAATCTTCCTTTCAGCGCCAAAACCAACCTTGTATCCTTAGGTGAGCCATTTTCCCAACATGTACATCGTGACATCTCAAGCAAGAACATTTTGTTGGATTCTGAATATGAGGCCTGTGTTTCAGACTTTGGCACATCTAAGTTTTTAAATCCAGACTCAACTAATTGGACTGCGGCTGCAGGCACACATGGCTATATGGCACCAGGTAATATCCCCTGTTCTCGGTATTAGCACTTTTAAAGCTTTTGCTTTTAGACCAATGCTTCATTTTCATCATTAGGAGTGGTTAACATAAACACATTTTCACTTCTTTGATTTAGAAAAAATATACTAATAAACACATTTTCACTTCTCTTAAGCTATAAACTAATAAGTCGATTTATGCATGATACAGTTTCGTTAAAATTCCATTCAATATTTATGTCCATAAACTAATAATGCCACTTCACTGAGGTTTTCTTTGAGCAGAGCTTGCTTACACAATGGAAGTGAATGAGAACTGCGATGTTTATAGCTTTGGTGTGGTCACATTGGAAATAATTATGGGAAAGCATCCTGGAGATCTTTTCTCATCTTTCTCATCAGTCTCTTCATCCTTCTCCTCCTCATCGTCATCTACATTACCAGCCCATCAAATACCAATTGTGGATGTTTTGGACCAACGCATCTCCCCTCCTACGCATCAAGTTGCAGGCGAAGTGATCTCTCTTGTGAAGATAGCATTTTCATGCTTGGATTCCAACCCGAAATCTCGTCCAACAATGAAACAAGTTTCTCATCTCCTCTCAACTCAGATACTGCATTTGTCGAAGCCGATACATATTATGACATGTGGTGAATTGCTTGCTCTTGATCCTTTGGCTACCTGATTAGAACGTGATTCTTTGCTACACACATTTCATTTTCTCTGTCTTCTTTTCAGAAGAAAGATTCTCCATAGATAGATGTTTCCTTCTTGTAATTTATTTCAAGCACGTGTGCGCTATGCTATGACTTTATCTAGGATGCTTTACAGTTTGTTTATCCTTAACGTTAAATACTTATTGGAGAATTTTCCTTACAATTTGTTTATCCTCGTGAGGAAAAACAAAATGAAATAAAACAAGGGTTTTGTCGAGTAATTTTATATACTCTGTGTAAACCGTCCCAAAATCAACAATAAACAATTAAACTATGAAAATTAAAGAGAGCTTCACTATTATACCCAAAATAGGGGCTGAAATTATAAATAAATAAAAACTCACATGGAATGCACTTAAGAAACACACCCAAAACCAATGTACTTCATAAGAAATGGGTGTTGAAGTTCCTATAAATTACATGATTGCCACTGATTAACTTAAAAAAGTCAACACACAAAACTCAAAAAAAACTCAAAACTCAAAAAACCCAAACAATTTATTTTAAAAAAAAATTGTGAAAACCAAGGAGGGGCTCTTCATAAAAGTACATTGTTAATACTATGTCATAGAACTATCTTATTAATATTACTATGTCATAGAAGTACATTGTTAATACTCTGTCAGTTAACTATCTTGTTAATACTCTGTCATAGAAGTACATTGTTAAACAAAATTGAGATCCATAACTGAAATAGTAACAAAAGATAAATCGATCATCAAAGCGTAAAATACATTCCCTAAATCAACTAAAATCCAAAGAGAAACATATAATTGAAGCAAAAGATCAAAAATCCCAAGTCCAAACCAAATGACAACGATGACGTGGCGAAATCCCCGTCTTCCTCCACAATTGAAGATGACGAGTCATTGTCTTTGTGCAATACTCTGGAACAACCGACGAGGTCCTTGACTGTCGTTTGCTCGCTGCTATACTTTAGATTTTTTTTTAATGATTATAACCGTGCGGCTATACTCATAATATACTTAAAGAGTATAGCCGCGCAGCTATACTACGGTTTTTTATTATTAAAAATAGTATAGCCGTGCGGCTATACTGTTTGTGACACGTGGGTTCAAATTGCTAGCGCATCTTTTTTTTATATAAAATATATAAATAGTATAGCCACGCTGCTACACTTTTTATAAAGTGAGTATAGGCGTTCGGCTTTATTGGTGTCGTTTTTTTTATAAATAGTATAGCTGATTGGCTATACTCTTTAAATTACACATATGACTAATTTCATGTTGAACTAAATATGACCAAATAGACATAGACGAGTAATTTCATAAACGATAACATCATCTAAGTCATAACATTTAATAGTTTTTTGTTTGATTTTTTCAATTTTGAGCCAATTTTAGCCTTTCAAATCGTTAGACATGCTTAATATTTTCAAGAATTTTATGAAATTTTCCAAAATATGTTAAATTCTGAAAGTTTTTGGAAAAGAATTTTCATTCCAAATTTTTTGGATTGGAATGGGAATCCCCTGATTCCGATTTGATCCGTCTGAAAACCGACCCTACCTCCCACTTTGACTTGATATTTGACCCAAAAAAAATACAATAATCGAAACAATTGTAGGAGAATAAGGTTGGGCTTCAGCTAACTCGTCGGTATTAAATAAATAAATAAGATTTTACTAATAAACTTATTTTAGCATGACATAATATATAAAAGCCTTTATTGAGCATATTTGGAGTGAAAAATTCAAAACTAGCCACTTTTTATTTTCTAATTGGTTCTTATAAATTTTTAACTCATTAAGAAGCAATTAGAAAATGATAAGTGGTTAGTTTTGGGTTTTTTTTCTTTCTACAAATAGGATCTATATAATTTGTTTATATAATATGTCATGCTAAAATGAATTTTTGAATAAATATCTCATAAATAAATTTTGTTGTCAAGGCCCCAACTTTTACAGCCCAGCCCATGCGAACTGTGTTGGATGGTTGGCCTTAACAAGCCTAGCAAGAGAGAAAAGCCCCACAAAAACAACAGTAAACCTTAAACCCTCGACAAAGGTAGACAAGGAAGATAGTCGGAGACAAGAACACCAATCAGAGGGGCGAGACTGAGAGGGATGCTGTACATAGTAGGACTGGGATTGGCGGATGAGAAAGACATCACCTTCAGAGGCTTAGAAATAGTGAAGCGATGTGACCAGGTTTTCATAGAGTCCTACACTTCTCTACTCTCTTCCGACGGCCTTTCCACGTTGGTATGGCTATTCTTCTGTCTCCCTCTCTTGCTCTATTTGTTTTCAAAACGTACGTGTTCAGATTTTTAGAAGGAATTTCAACGCACAGGAAAACTTGTATGGAAAACCAGTCACAGTTACAGATAGAAAAACGGTGGAGGAAAAAGCCGACCAAATTCTAACTGCAGATCCTTTTGGGTATGTATGCCTTTCTTTGGAATGTCAGTTTATTATGTTATATATATTTGTTTCCAAAGAACTATTTTTTACTACGTAATTAAAATTTGGTTCCAAACAACTTTATGTTTTAATTGGGTTATTTGACCAATTGAAGTGTAGGAATTATGATTGAATGGGAGACTTATTTGATCAATTGGGTTTTTCTGAATTCGTTTCTTGCATAATTTGATCTGGAACACAGAGCTACAACTCACACTGATCTTGTTGTTCAAGCCACGAAGTTGGGGATTGATGTGGAAAGTGGTGCCTAATGCCTCAGTGACAAATGCAGTTGGAATCTGTGGATTACAACTCTACCACTATGGAGAGAGAGTTTCAATTCTATTCTTCCCTGAAACTTGGAGGCCTGATAGCTTTTACCACAAGATTCGAAAAATAGCGGGCTTGGACTGCATACTCTCTGATTGTTAGGTTGGGTCTTAAATACTCTTTCTCATGACGCTTATCTTGCTATAAACTTTCTTCACAAATTATTTTTCAATGTAGATATACACATGAAGGAACCGACTTTGGAATCTTTGTGCAGGTCTGTATTCAATGATTGACTGTTTTCTTTTTTATTTCAAGCTGTGTCTTGTTTTTATGTTTTTTGTGCTTCTGCTGTTGCATAGACTTATTTACTCTTTTCTGCCTCCCTTGAATCTTTCAGTGGAAGGACGCAGTATGAACCCCCTAGATATATGTCAATAAACACTACAATTGAGCAGCTTTTGGAGGTTGAGGACAATCGAGGAGAATCTGTAAGGACCCCAAAATTTTCATATCTTGAGGACTTCACTGTCAATGTTATCTATTGTCTGGCTTGTACACAACATAAGACGATGACTTCTAGTCGCTGTAGTTTTGATTTTTGCATTACCCACCTTGCAGCATATGATGAGGACAGTATGTGTGTTGGATTTGCTCGGCTGGGAAGTGAGGATCAGAAGATAGTTTCTGATAAAATGAAGCAACTGCATTTTGTTGATTTTGGAGCACCTCTCCATTGCCTTGTCATAGCCGGCAAGACAATGGATTTACCATATTCAGAGTTTCTGGTAAGTATTAATGTATAATCTTCATGGGCACATTGAAATACTATATTCAGAGTATTTACCATAACAACATTATCTACATCAAACCAAAATCCAACTAAACAGAACAATAACATGAAAGAAAAGTAAAACAAATATCAGGAGCAACATGCGTCTAGACTTCTAGTATCAAAAGAAGCTTAAACGAGCCATTGATCATTTGCTTTAAATCTTTGGAGAATATATTAGAAGAATTATTTGGGGCTTTGGCCATAATTTATAAATATTTTATGGTTAGGTTCATCAAAGGGGCCAAAAGCAAATAATGAGGTGAGCATGTATGCTGATTTTCTCACACTGTCAAGATACAATGAGGTTCGAATATGAGACCACTTGTCTGCAAGTTCAATGTTTTAATATAAGATAAATATTTTTATAAAATAAAAATAAAAATCGAGGAATTGGGGATTCGGGGGCGGGTTTGGAAGACAAGCCCCCAATGGGGATGGGGACGGGAATTCCCCAAAAATTCTTATCATGGACATGGATGGGGAGCGAAGACGAGGACGGTTATTGTCATACCTCAACCCGAACTGGCCTAGTTGCCATTCCTACGTTGACATGATGGGTTTTAATATCACGTCTATTACACATTGATGGGCTTTGAAAAGAGAAAAAGTTCAAAACTTATGGGCTTCAAATTACGACGAATTTTCACACTGACGGGCTTCATTGTCACTTTTCGTTTTAATTTACAAGGAATTGAAATAGTGATTGTTGAAAGATTTTAATTAAATTTCCAGCAGGAAATTAGAAGGTTTTGGTTTTAATAAAATTCATATTACATGTAAAAAGGTAACGTGCTAGTTTTATAAGGATAGTGAGGCTGAGTGAAGTGGTTGAGTCTTATATATCTTTTGCTTTCTTTTTTATACTCGTTTGTTTGATTGTATCCATCAACTACTCTCTCCTCTTTTTCCCTCTCTGTCTATTTTTTTTTCCTCAAATTTCAATCCGTAAAATTAATTCAAATATAAATTAATTAAGGGACTTATAATTCAAATAAGGCTTATTATCACAAAACATCCCTGATGTTTGCGAAACTATCAGATTGCATCTTTAAAGTTTTTTTGTATCACTCGTGGTCCCTAACGTTAATATGGATGCTCTTAAATGGTCCATCTGTTAAAAAAACTGTTAAATCCAGGGGTATAATCATCAAATCAATCCTTTTGACCTCTTCAATGACTCAGACCCGTTTGCCACCAATTTGGAACCATTTCTCTCCATTTCTTGTTGGAATTGCTAAAGGTAAGGGGTGAAAATGGAAGGGAATAACATAAACAAATTGAACTGTAAACAACACACGTTAGAAGCATACTGCGATCTGCCGGCATGTCGTCGTCATGGCTAGAAGCATACTGCGATCACACTTGCCGACGACTTGTCGTTTCAGTCTGAGCTAACAACACACGTTAGAAGCATACTGTGATCTGCCGGCATGTCGTCGTCATGGCTAGAAGCATACTGCGATCACACTTGCCGACGACTTGTCGTTTCAGTCTGAGCTCTGAAGCTTCTATGCTACTCTGATTTGTACTCTGCAACACC